TATTCTTTCATTTTATTCGAATCTTACATTTATCGTCCATCGTCGTTCTATAGATTTATGTTCCCAACCTATATCACGTAATGTATAAACTAATCGAATTGTACAAGTTTGAATACGAGGCCAAAAGTATTCATTTATATAATTAATAACTTCAAGATTTGATGAAAACGAATAATCATTATCATCATCATTATTAGTTCATGTTCTATTTAGATAATTAATATTATTCATTATTATATATAAAACTTACCGAACAATATCAAGATAAGGAATACCTGTCCATAGACAATAGAGAATACTTTTTCAGATAGTCTTTTTTTGTTGAAACTAAAAGAAAAATATAAGATTGTAGAAAATCAATATTTAAGTTCTTCACATCTTCTATTAAAAATATAAATGAAAGCATTTCATCATAATAATTAACAGATTTTAATAGAGATTTAAGCGATAAAATTTATGTCTAAATAATCGATTAAAAAGTTTTAATTAAAAAAAAATTTCTCTTTACTGATTGTGCTTGTTTAATTTCATCATTATCTTCAGTTGATTTATTATATTGAAATATATTTTTAAACTAAAAATAAATTTTTTCTCGATATCAAATTTCAATATAAAACAAACTTCAAAAAATTCTTTTCTTAAAAATGTTGTTGGATTCAGTGGATACAAAACAAGTGTTCTTAGTATCCATTTAGCATCTTCATCATTTGAACTTGGCATTTCTTAATTAGTTTGTTGTTGAAGAACAACTACCTCATGAATAGATGGACGTTTTTCGATAACTAATAAATAATATTGAATTAATAATTGATTTATATCAGATATATGAACAATCTTTCAACAAAATCTCTTAAACAATTCTTAACTTACAATATAAAATCCTTCATTATGAATTAATTCAATATAAATACTATTATTAATAAATGGAATAATTAATTCATGTTTTGAAATTTATGATGATATACGCGTGTATATACGGCAATTAAGATGAGCTAAAAGTGATGGAATACGTTGTTGAATTAACCAAATTCTAAAATTAATTTAAATAAAAAGTAAAAGATTTCAACCGAATTTTCATACTTAAATAAATTAATGGCATCAATTAAATTTGTTTGATCACGATTGAGTGTATTTTAAATTTGTTAGGAATAACGAGCTTCTGAAAAAGAAAATTAATCAAAAAGAAAGATAAATTTTCGATTTACCCATATAAGAAACGACTTTATATAAACCAGAATATGGACTTATTGATATAAATAAAATTTCATCTGAGGTATTTTCAGGTAATAATTCACATTTTAATGCTGCTATTGATGAATCAATTCCAATTAGAAACAAAGAAATATATTCAATAATAAAAATTATTTTACAAATAAATACTGTTGATTATAGTAGTATAAAACTGTTTCTTTTAATTCCTGAATAAAAAATTTTATGCAAATATATAAAATAAATCATTTACAAAGTTCAAATCGACATTGATATTGAGCATATATTGTTCGATTTAAAATTCCTTCCATTGTAAATATCGGTTTCTAATTAAACAGCGTGATTATATTTCAAAATAAAATTTCAATTCTTCTAAAATCTATAAAAATCGCAATGCTATCATCAATAGGTATGATGGCCAACGTTGACTTTGAAATCTGCCGTTATCATCAAATATAATCGTCATACGAATATCTATAATTTCGATTAATATTCTGAATAAATAAAACAATTGGTTTATCTATATCTACATTTTTTCCACTAATAACTTGTTTTTTTTCTTGTTGATTATTAGAATAATCTTTCCAATATCCAATATTAAAACTTTTACATGGATCATAACCAGATATTTGTAAATCTTTTTGTTTTGCATGTTGATTATGTATTCGATGTCTTAAAGTATAGAGAATTTCTTTTAAATAAAATTATATTGTTTTATATTTACTTGTTCATATAAAATTTTGTAAACGTAATGATTGACAATAATAATCTATTTTAAAAAAAGTAATTAGGAAAGAAAAAGAAAAAAAGAAATACATGCATAAATATTGATAAAGATCAACTAATGGCTTTTCGGATTCATTAAGCCAACTTTGAATAAAATTTGCTAATGTTTGCATCTAAAGATATGTATATGATTAACATGAGTTTAGAATTGAATTTTCAACATACCTGGATCGGATGAATAAGATCTTGTTCTGTAAATAAATAAAAAATACTCAATTATTATCTTAAATAAATTTTCAAATTTTATCCGGTTCTTCTGTATCACGTAAAAATAATTTAGTTTGATAAATATGCCATGGAGATGGTGGATTATCATTAACAATTCCTAATTTAACTTCAAATTCTTCATCGACTGATAATGTTACTATTCCATTTTCTATAAAAACAATCAATCATAAAATAAACAAATCTATCTTTTCTTCTACATACTAATTGTCACATTAGTAAATTATATCGGTAAATCTGAACTTGGTACTCTTGCTGTAAGAATTTGTTGAAGATGTGATAAAATTTGTTGACGTTGTTTTTCACTAGCTGGTGTAAAACTTGTTGTTACTTCTGCTATTCGTTTAGGTAAGAAATTAATTGTACCAAGTGTTAATGCATCAATAGCATCTATTACAGGAAAATTTCGTATTCGAGCACCAAAAAGTTTTTCACATGCAAGTTCAGCTAATGAATCAAATGTTTCACGTATTCATCGAGCACGAAGTTCAAGAAAATTTTGGATACTCTTTAGATAAAAAAGAAAGAAGAAGTTTGTTTTTTTTGTTGAATAAATATTTACCTTGCATGTAGTTACTCTTCCTGTTATTGTTGACCATTTAACAACAGATAAAATTTGTATAAATAACTGTCTAGCACAGCAAGCAAATTTAATTAATTCTGTTTTTCTAATAAGAAAAGAAATTATTGGTTTTTTTTGAAAATCTTATTCATATCGTTCTAAATTTGATTTATTGTGTAGACCTAAATAAAAAATAGATTTAATTAAAGAATCAATCAAATAAATAACGGATGGCACATAATAAACGGGTCAAAATGTTTCCCTCTTTTTAGGGTACTTCCAAAGATAGTGAAGACGCTGTTTTAAGCTCATTCAATAGAGAATTTTTCGCTCTACAATGCTGTCGACCTTGTTTTCAAAATACGTTTTTCTTATCGGCAAAAGATTGAAAAGATTGATAGCCATTCATTTGTCCAACTGCGACTGTCAGAAAACAAAATAATTATTAAAAATATTCTTTTAAATAACAGTTCTGCCGAAATACAAAATATACTGCAAGGTACTCCGTAAAATTTTGCATGTTGCGATGTTTCACAATTTTAGAAACAACATTTGGAAGAATAATTTTTCCAGCAATAATTAGACAATAATACAAAAGATCCTTTTCTGACAGGACTATTCTATTGTTTGTTCTTGATTCAGGACAATCTAAAGATTTTCGCTTTTCGATTTAAATGTTCTATCATTTTATTCAGGATTAAATTCTGCATGAGATGATATAATAATAAAGCGTTCATAGAGCATGGTTGACTTTTGAAAAGACGAATTTTGAAAGCACATTCACAACAAAATCCTGCCAGGTGTTAGTTTCAAGCTTTTTGGATCTAAACGACACCATCGGCAGCCTTGAAAAGATCTTCGAAGGATAGAGCAGAAAATTCTCTATTGATTGATGCTAAATATTTTACACTTAGGAATGAATTGGATGAACACAGCCTTACACAAATCGATAGATGTCTGAAGAAAATAATAGGAGATTGCAGTTGGGCAGTTGAGTATCTATCAATCTTTTCAATTTTTCGCCGATAAGAAGAATTTATTTGGAAAATAAAGTTGACAGCTTTGTGGAACGAAAAACTCTCTATTGAATGAGCCTAAAACGGAGTCTTCAATGTCTTTGAAAATGCCCTAAAAAGAGGAAAACATTTTGATCCGTTTATTATACGCGACCCGTTAATAAGACACATAATACACATCTGTCATTGTGTATAATTCATTACAAGTTTTTTGTACAGTTGCTTCAAATAAATCAGATAAAGGAATTTTATCATATATTGGTACAACTAGAGCATTACTACTACTAGCTGATAGACCAGCACACATGCTTTAATTATTTTATAGATGCTTATCTAAAAGTTTTTTCTTTTATTATTTTCCCTTTGCTTTTTGAATTTTAAGTATATTAAAGAAACCTATTCAATCATTCATTCATTTCAAACGGATAATGTATTCTATTGGTTGGTATAACAGATGAATGAAAATTTTCAAATAAAACTTTCGTTGTATCGAGATTGATAATTACTGACATCTAGGTTTTTTGAAGTGACAATGACAAATATGAAATTGCTAAAAGCTAGGCTAAAAGCAGAAATAGTTCGAAAATAGTTCGTGTTTTTTTTTGGTATGAATAAAGTCAAGATGTCATTTAATGAGTTTTGACTAAAATCTTTTTTTTAAGTATTTACCATTGCGCGTTAATGATGATTTATTGAAACTGATTTAACCCTTTCAATCTTGGCGGCTCGTTAAAGAGCCACTCATGTTTTTCTTTTTAACATTAATGTATGCAATTAAACTGATTTCACAATTCAATAGACGTCAACAATATCTTCAAATTGATATATCACATTAATATTTTTTATATTCAGACATCCTCCCACAATCTCCTTTTCTTTAAAATAGGAAATAAAAATAAAATAAAATAAGAGATTTAAGAAAATCTCTTCAATTTTTCGAAAAAAAAAACCGGAACTGAAAAGGTTAAAGAAAACATATGAAAAAAAACTGCATTGAAAAATATGATCCTATCAATTACGAAAAAGAAAAGTCAAAGATTTATACAAGGTGTTCACTTTATTTTGAAACGATTTCGGTCGATTTTTTCTACGTCAATGACTTATTGAGATCCGATGATTTTCATGTTAGTCTACCTCACATACATTGCAGATGTTGTTATAATATTCTTAGTTTAGATAAAGAAATATTTGGTAATAAAACATCTAACAACATTGAAGGGTACGTGAAATATCTTTTGACGAAATAATATTCGTATTTAGTGAACCAGAAATATTTATCTGAAATACGTTTATGTGTCAAAAAGTATTATTAGGTGGGTCTCTAAAAAGGTTGAAATACAGCTTCAATTAGCTTTATTAAATAATAAAAATCCAAAATTTTATCGCCCTTGTCATGTGACAACACATATTATTGATTCGTCGTAATATAACACATATAGACGAAGAATTTTCCTGCTATTTAGTCAATTGTCACACAATATCGTATTAGTGTTGCTACGACATTACCTATTATTCTTGATATAAATCATGCAAAAGAAGATCAAGAAAAAATTAGCAGATCGTTGATATTCATCTATCATTGAAAAAGAAACGATCTTAGTGCTCAGGGCGTGTGATATCGATTACGCGAAATGACCTGCAAAATGATGTTCGGATCGATCAGACATAAAGTGGCGGA